GCTGTCTGTTCCATCTTCTTATCCGAATTCTTATATAATTGCAAAAGTAAAGCAAATTAACTTACGTTCTTTTTTTTGTTTAATGTTAACAAAGCAGTTCGATGGACGTTGATAACGCGAAGTAGTTTACAATAAACCTTTCTTCTTAGAAAAAAAAACAAACAAGAACAAAACAAAACCAGAAGATTTTATTGTTTAAATTCGTTCTTGCATGACTTTACCAAAGAAATCTCTGGTACATTTAACACGACCTTGATGACCTCTGTTACATCATAATATTCAAATAACAGTGGCGTGATTTCTATTTAATTTTTGCCACTTAAACCATCAAACAAACACTGTCAAATTATTATAAAATCTGCATCATTGTTGATATTCTCTCGAACGTGAAGGTAACAGTAATTTAAAAAATACATTTATACAAATATAAATCTGCAAATAATAGAAAAGTAAGTATATCTAAATTATTTAATTATTAACACGAAATATTTCCATTCGAGAAATAACTACGAGTCAAATCAATTTTAATTACGTGGAATTAATTATTAATTAGAAGCAATTTAGAAGCGCTACAACTAATAACCTGTTCAAATAACGTCAATAATTGACACGCGATAATTAAAGACCAGTAATTAATTTATGAATGCAAATTTTTCATTTGGAAAGAAAAAAAATCGGATTATCGAATTTTCTCCATTATCCAAAGCTAATTAGTTTTGTAACATGTGAATTCATATGTTTTTGTGTACAAATATTTTGGATTATTGAAATTTCTTCATTATCAAAAGTAAACTAGATTTTGTAATTCAGAAGCGGTGGCAATCGCAAGTCCGAATACCGAAATACCGTCAATCAAATTCCCGACGTTCGAAATCCCGACTATATCAAAATCTTGGCAATCATAATTCTGACTATATCAAAATCCCGACTGTATTAAAATCCCGACTTTATCGAAAATGTCTACAATAACATTTTTAAATTATTCCGTAAACATTGTCAATATAGTCGGGATTTTGATACAGTCGGGATTATGTTTGTTGGGATTAGGGTTGTCGAGATTCTGATACAGTCAGAATTATGATTGCCAAGATTTTGATATACTCGAGATTTCGAACGTCGGGATTTCAATAGACGGTCTTTCGGTTGTCGGGCTTGCGTTATAGACCCGTTTACAATAAACCTTTTTATCGATATAGTCGGGATTTTGATATAGTCGGGATTTCTAACGTCGGGATTTCCATACAGTCGGGATTTCGTACGTCGGGATTTCAATAGACGGTCTTTCGCTGGTCGGGCTTGCGATATAGACCCGTTTACAATAAACCTTTTTATCGATATAGTTGGGATTTTGATATAGTCGGGATTATGTTTGTCGGGATTATGGTTCTCGAGATTATTATACAGTCGGGACTATGGTTGTCAAGATTTTGATATAGTCGGGATTATGGTTGTCAAGATTTTGAAATAGTCGGGATTATGGTTGTCAAGATTCTCATATAGTCGGGATTATGGTTGTCAAGATTTTGATATAGTCGGGACTATGGTTGTCAAGTTTCTGATATAGTCGGGATTTTAGTTGTCAAATTTTGATATAGTCGGGATTTCTAACGTCGGTATTTCCATACAGTCGGGATTTCGTACGTCGGGATTTCAATAGACGGTCTTTCGGTTGTCAGAAGCAGTTTGAGATTAAAGAAGAAAAAAAAATAAACACGCCTTCGTTGTTTGATGTAATAATTGCTATGCAATAAATCAGTTTAGATGTGAAACCGTTAAATCGACAAATTCATTAATTATTTATTAGATATTCGCCGCACCGAATTGATACAGATTTCGAATCAATATCGTGTTTTTTTTGTTTGTATTATTTAATTAAAATCGGTTACAAAAAAATAATGTTGTAAATGAATACAAATTTATTTCCAGAGGACTATAATCATAATAGTAAAGTTATCTTAAGAGCAAGTTTATGCACTAAATGAGATCTGTAATGGGTGTATAAATTTCGTCTGAAAATCGATCCGTCGTTGTCGTTTCTAACGATTTAAACGCGCCAGAGAATTTTCAATGTAGTAATTACATGCAAGTTATGCAATCATTTTTGCATAATAGAACCAGATGTAATTATCCCATCTCCGCGTGGAAATGACTTCGCGTCACGATTAATTAACCATAAGCCTCGATCGCAAGCCAATTATAATTATATGTAAATAATAATAAGTGTTCACGAATTGATTGAAAATACCTCGCATAGTGCGGGTAAACGGTTCCTCCAATATCCTGGAATGTTTGAAATCGCACTAATCGAATAACTACGTGAAAATATTTTTGTGTTTTATTTTATAATTTTGCCCAATTAAAATATAGTTTATTATGAATTTTTTAATTTTACTAGAGTAAATCCGTACTGATGAAAGTAGTACTACGTGAGGGATTGCTGTACAATATATATATTTTATTAATAGAAATAGATTGCTATTATTTTCTAAGAAGAAAGGTTTATTGTAAACGGGTCTATATCGCAAGCCCGACAACCCAAAGACCGTCTATTGAAATCCCGATGTTCAAAATCCCGACTAAATCTTGAAAACCATAATCCCGACTGTATCAGAATCTCGACAACCATAATCCTGACAAATATAATCCTGACTGTATCAAAATCCCGACTATATCGAAAATTTTTACAATAACATTTTTTAATTATTTCGGAGCGTAGTCACCATGTGCTACACTTTTATTATTAATAACAATAAATTATTATTAATTTATTTGATTTTGTTGAATTATTCATAATAAACCTTAAGATTAGGAAATACTCTGAAATACAGTTAGATTATTAATTGTTATTATTTATTATTAATAACAATTTAAAAGTTACTACGCTCCGAAATAATTTAAAAATGTTATTGTAGACATTTTCGATATAGTCGGGATTTTGATACAGTCGGGACTATGGTTGTCGGGATTTCGATACAGTTGAGATTTTGAAATAGTCGGGATTATGGTTGTCGGGATTTCGATACAGTCGGGATTTCGAAGGTCGGGATTTCGAAGGTCGGGATTTCGATGCAGTCGGGAATTTTATTGGCGGCATTTCGGTTGTCTTGCGATTGCCACCGATTGTAAACTGCTTCGCGTTATCAACGTTCATCCAACTGCTTTGTTAACATTAAACAAAAAAAGATCGTAAGTTATTTTGCTTTACTTTTGCAATTATATAAGAATTTGTGTTATATTTTCATGAATATTATATAAAAAAAAACAGAGATATATTTATTATTTTTTATACATTTAAGTTTATTTTTATTTAATATCTAAGAAATATAGAAATAATGACATAAAAATTTGATATTACTGCTAGTACTAAATATTAATTAAAACGTAATTCATATAATTGCATTTAATATTTATCAATATTTGTTTATTTTGTTTTTATAATTGTTAAAAAATAATTTTCTTCAAGTACTTTATTCAACATAATTCTTAATTCTTATATGTTAATAATTATTATTTTATTAATAGACGTTTTACAAATTTATTATATGAATAATAAAATCAAGTGTGTTTTGAAAATGACAAAGTTTCAAATAAAATCTTAACAGTCTTATATAAAATAAAATTTATACTTATCTCTCTTCTTCAAGATGACAATGTTTTATTGAAATTTTGACGATTCTAGCAGATTTCATTGATTTCTTAGTTAGATTGTTCTATATCACAAATTCAATTTTATTTGTATCATTTTTAAACTACATTTTTCAATTAAATGTTAAGTAATTAAATAAAGTTAATTAAGTGGTTTATTATTATATTTTGAACAATTGAATTACCCAAATATTGTGTATATTTAAACAAACAAAAATACAATATAGTTTCATAAGTCAAGTAGGTCTTCAAGATGACATTTTTTTGACATATTCGAGAATATGATAATTCTTACAAATATTGGATTATTTGTTGGTAAAATAAACAAAATATTTAAAATTAATTTTTAATAATGAAAATTAGTTTGTACATGAATTATTTAGAAATAACTATGTTTAACAATACTGTTTCATATAAAATGAAGTTGGTCATCAAGATGACAATTTTTGACAAATTCAAGAAAATTACATTTCTTACAAATATTGGATTATTTCTTGGTTGTTTAATATTAATTGAATTGTGTTTGTAATTAAATATAGACCAAAATTGACAAAATATTTAAAATTAATTTTCAATAATTAAAGTAAGTTTGTATGTGAATAATTTGTAAATAATTATATTTAACAATACTGTTTCAAATTAAATCAAGTAGGTTATCAAGGTGACAATTTTTTGAAACATTCGAGAAAATGACATTTCTTACAAATATTGGATTATTTTTTAGTTGTTTTATATTAATTGAATTGTGTTTGTAATCAAATATACACCAAAATTGACAAAACATTTCAAATTAATTTTCAATAATTAAATTAAGTTTGTACATGAATCATATGAAAAATACTATTTTTAAAAGTTACAGTTTAAAAATATCAAGTAGGCCTCCAATATGACAATTTTTTGACATATTCGAGAAAATGATAGTTCTTGCAAATATGACTGGATGACATTTATCAAGTTTTAAATAATTATTGAATTGTGTTTGTAATGAAATATTCACCGAAATAAAAAAATATTTAAAATTAATTTTCAATAGATAAAGTTTGTACATGAATAATTTAGAAATAACTATTTTTTACAAGTTACAGTTATGTTGCTAGTAGGTTTCAATATGGCAATTTTTTGACATATTCGAAAAACCACAATTAATTAATTTTTTTCATTCTAAACTAAATATTTAAAATAAAGTTTCAATGAATAAATAAACTTTATATAATAAACTTTATAATTATTTTTACAATACAGTTTCATATAAAATCAAGTAGGTTTTCAAGATGACATTTTCACAATTTCAAGAAAAATGTCTAAAAGATTAGTTTTTTTGTATATCAATAATAAAATTGTGTTTTTATATATACCTGCATTGACAATATCAATTCCAAAAAGCGCGTTTAAAAGCGCAAGGATAACGCACGACGCCGGCACTGACACCATCCACCGCACGCGAGGCATATTGGCGGAGGTCCGCCGAAGAACTGAACGGTTGTTCGCAGAGGCCCACCTCTTACCAGAAGACTCTTCTCTTTCCTATTCACACACACATATATTTATACACACAAATACTTACAGAGAGACCTAGAGAAAGAAGAAGCGAGAGGAAGACTCGTCCTCATCCTCATGGAAACACACTCACAATTTAAAAACACACGTACGTATGTACGTATATACACCTGGAATCCATATCATTCTTGTTCCTCTTTATTTATCAAAACTCTGTATGCATGGAAACCATAAACCATGCGATAAATCTAAGCTAATCTTCCTTCCTATCATCCAGTACACACCTACAAGCCTCCTCTTGGACGGATGTTCGCTTTGCCGGACCTCCTCTGACCCAACGGTGATAAAGCCATGTAAATTATTACGCTGCGGAGCCAACATAATTGGCTTTATGATTTGTTGTGCATTCGGATAAACGGGCAATTGCATAAGAAGTCGTCGTTATGAAAGAGATGAGAACAGAATATAAGAGTTAGAATTGTAGAGAATAGATGAGTTAGAAGATCTACACTTTTCCCATCGCATTTACGGTCGATCATTTCAATTTCATCTCCGGTTTTATTGACTCAATCTAATGCAAACATCACATCATGGTAGAGAAACTACCACTGAGTATTCCTCATTAACGTATGATGTAGCTCTCCATCTATAAGTTTATTGTAACATAAAATATTGTGCACTTTACTTCAGTACTTAATGTATAATTTACGATGTAGGTGGTAAACTATTACTCTGTAATGTTTAATTAACATTTTTTATCTTGTATTTTTCTGCATTACATAAATAAACATTGATAATTAATCTATTAATTGGTAAGAATTTGATTTATTTTGTTGTAATTATAAAAATGCAATAAAAATCTATTCATATTTTATTACAAAATAAATGTTTACAAATAAGTCAACAATTAGGAGAAAAATGTAACAAGAAACACAAACTTTGACTGGTTTTGAAAAACTTGAAAGTCGAACAAAGAAATAAAAAAAAGTTACCTTACCTTACTATTACTGTGTAATATTTAATTTACTTTTAATATCTTCTATATTTCTACATTACACAAGAAAACATTGAGAATTCATTTATTAATTTGTAATTATTTATTTCATTTTCTTCTAATTATAAAAATATTGAAAGTAAATTCAAATATTTTCTGAATAAAAAATGTATTAATATTTTATTACGAAATAAATGTTTACAAATATTTTTTAATAAAAGTTCAAATAAAATTATCAAAGTCATCAATTATGCGAAAAATGTAATGAAAAAATCAAACTTTGAACTGTTTTCTATTTGAAAAACTTTAAATTCGAACAAAAAAACTTGAAAGTCGAACAAAGAAATAAAAAATGTTACCTTACCTTACTATTACTGTGCAATATTTAATTTACTTTTAATATCTTGTATCTTTCTGCATTACACAATAAAACATTGAGAATTCATTTATTAATTTGTAATTATTTATTTCATTTTCTTCTAATTATAAAAATATTTAAAGTAAATTCAAATATTTTTTAATAAAAGTTCAAATAAAATTATGTAAGTCATCAATTATGAGAAAAACGTAATCAGAAAATCAAACTTTGAACTGTTTTTTGTTAGAAAAACTATAAATTCGAATAAAAAAAACTTGAAAGTCGAACAAAGAAATCAAATAAATTGATAAATTATATAATTTGTATACTTTTTAAAGAAAAATCAAGTAATATTAATGAAAAAAAAATAATTAGTGAATTCAGATAATTACTTTTACCATGATTATTCATTGATAATTCTACTTTTTCTTTTGCAAATTTGCATAAAAAATTTGATTAATTTCAACATTATTGTAAATGTGAAATAGATGCTAATTTAACAATAAGAATCGAATCATTTAAACTTAGTAAAATTTTCAATTAGATTGATCACAAAGTAATAATATAAAACCCACATTATTATTCCCTTTTATTTGATTTTGGACATACTGGTAATAAATATGCAGAAATATTCATGAAAAGCGAAATTCCTTTCGAATGAAAGTGTTCGCAATTTGCAATTCATATAATTAAGTCCAATGTTTAAATACATTTATGTTAATGACCGACTTTAACTCTGTTTCACCAAAAAAAAAGAGATTTCGTAATACTATTATTACCTAAGCTTGGGATCTAAAAGTAAACGCAACAAAGTGCTATATTTGAAGTGTGAAAAACAGGTCATTATTGTCTTAACAGGTAGCTTAAATATACTATTAGCTTTATACCTAAACCAACCCTTTAGTTTACATTCCTTTACCAGAATTCACCCTAACGTAAATTTAGTTAAAATTTAACTGAAAAATATGTTTTATTGAATAATTCGTATTGAAATTACAGTACAATGATATCTCACATAGTGCGGGTAATCGATACCAAACCGTACTAATCGAGGTAGTAATAAATAACAAACAAAAATTGACTTAATATTTTATTTTTATTCAATTAAAATTTACCAAATTCAACCCAACGTAAATTTAGTTAAAATTTTACCGAAAAATATGTTATATTGAATAATTCGTATTGAAAATACAGTATAACAATACCTCGCATAGTGCGGGTAATCGATACCGAACCGTACTAATCGAGGTAGTAATAAATAACAAACAAAAATTGACTTAATATTTTTATTCAATTAAAATTTACCGAATTCAACCCAACGTAAATTTAGTTAAAATTTTACCGAAAAACATGTTTTATTGAATAATTTGTATTGAAATTACAGTACAACAATTCCTCGTATAGTGCGGGTAATCGGTACCAATCCGGTCTAATCGAGGTACTAATAAATAACAAACAAAAATTGACTTAATATTTTATTTTTGTTCAATTAAAATTTACCGAATTCAACCCAACGTAAATTTAATTAAAATTTTACTGAAAAATATGTTTTATTGAATAATTTGTATTGAAATTACAGTACAACAATACCTCGTATAGTGCGGGTAATCGGTACTGAACCGGACTAATCGAGGTACTAATAAATAACAAACAAAAATTGACTTAATATTTTATTTTTATTCAATTAAAATTTACCAAATTCAACCCAACGTAAATTTAGTTAAAATTTTACCGAAAAATATGTTTTATTGAATAATTCGTATTGAAATTACAGTACAGCAAGACCTCGCATAGTGCGGATAATCGATACCGAACCGTACTAATCGAGGTAGTAATAAATAACAAACAAAAATTGACTTAATATTTTATTTTTATTCAATTAAAATTTACCGAACTCAACCCAACGTAAATTTAGTTAAAATTTTACCGAAAAATATGTTTTATTGAATAATTCGTATTGAAATTACAGTACAACAATACCTCGTATAGTGCGGGTAATCGGTACCGAACCGGACTAATCGAGGTACTAATATATAACAAACAAAAATTGACTCAATTAAAATTATCTATAGCGAATCCGTACTATTTGAGGTATTGCTGTATTCTCAACGAAACAATAGAAGATAGATAACGATGTTAATTTACTCAATTGTTTTTCTTTATCAACATGAGTCCAATTCGTATTGATTTTACCCAAATTAGACTACTTTCGCCACAAACAAAAGCATACTCGTTATCAACGCCGACCTGAATTTTCTTACAATTTACATCCAATAGCTTATGTATCGCAAACGCGTGGTAACTGTAAATCATTTTCCATTTACACGATGCGGCACACTTGTATAATTGAAAGCACACATACACAAACACACAATTTTTTCATTCTTTCTTTCTTTATTCGTCCGCTATTTATTTTTGCATGTGGGCTCTTATCAATGCTCAGTTAATAATTGCTTCTTCTCCGTCGCTGCTGGCTGGATGCATTCAGAGGCATTGAAAGTGCGGTTTCCCATTTAGAAACCTGACGAGTAACGGTGCATTGAATATATCCTTTACTTTTCTAAATCACGATGTGAAATGACGAAAAAAAATAAGTATTAATAGTGAATAGTTTCTTATCCCCGTTGTTGTTTATTATTTTGATAATGAAAGGGGGGTGAAAGCCACCCAATTTCACTTTTGTTTTCTTCGCTTATTTACACGCTCACTTGATTCACATGATGTAATTACATTTTGTTCAGTAACCATAGTAAATTTAATGAATCGTTTCACGTTTTAAAACTATTTATTTTTTTTATTATTATAACAGTTACAACTTACGTAAACGTGATAATATTAATTATTTTTTTTAAAGAAATCGTGTATTAATTAGAGTTTGGTGAAACCTTATTTATTTTGAAATAAAATTTTTAAACTTACTTTTAAAACTTAAAAAACAATTTTTTTTATCACATTTTCCAGTTTCAAACTTTTTACATGGTTTTTGTATAATTTAACTTGTATTTTCAATACATTAGAACATTGAAGTTCATACTAATTTTATTTAAAAATAAAATTTTTAAGTTGTTCGACTTTTGAGTTAAATGATAATTGATAATTCCAATTACATATAAATATTCCTTAATAAATCTTATATAATATCATATGTTTTCTTAATAATTCTAATTATATTTAATATTTTTTTTAAAGAAAAAAACTTATATGATTGTTGTCTCCACTTTTCGTTCGAGTTCCAAAATATTGTTTTCCTCTTATTTCGAGTTTCAAGTTGTTCCAACGTCGAAAATGTTCGTAATTTAGGATTTCACTGTATATTTTCTATTAAATTTGTTTGACTGTTAAATGATTGAAAATTTAAAACCTACATCATTGGATTTTCCACTTTCTGTTCAAGTTTTAAAATACTGTTTTCGTATTATTTCGAGTTTCAAGTTGTACTAACGTCGAAATTGTTAGTAATTTAGGATTTCACTGTATATTTTATAATAAATTTATTTATTATTGGAAATTTCAAGTCTGCAAAATTGACATTTCCACTTTTAGTTCATGTTTCAAAATACTGTTTTCCTCTTATTTCGAGTTTCAAGTTTTTCGAACGTTAAATCTTTC